TTCTATAGGCATGCCTGATATGTCTATGTATTTATGGGTGATGTGCACAATGTTACACTACTGAAAATAAATAAAAGAGCTCTAATTGGCTTAAGAAAATAAAAGCACTTGAATCGAACACTTTATCAGGAAAAAATAAAAGACTAGTCAAATGCTGTTTCAAGTTTATGTAATGTCAGTAAAATCTTTAATAAATAAGCTAGCTTCCCAACATTAATAATGAGCCACCGCGCGTGAGCCACCGCGCCCAGCCACTTTTCTTACTATTAAAAACAACCTGAGCTGGGCGCGGTGGCTCACACCTGTAATCCCAACACTTTGGGAGGCTGAGGTGGGCAGATCACTTAAGGTCAGGAGTTTGAGACCAGCCTGACTAACATAATGAAACCCCGTCTCTACTAAAGATACAAACAGTAGCTGGGCGTGGTGGCACATGCCTGTAATCCCAGTTACTTGGGAGGCTGAGGCAGGAGAATCGCTTGAACCTGGGAGGCGGAGGTTGCAGTGAGCCAAGACTGTGCCATTGCACTCAAGCCTGGGCATCAAGAGTGAAACTTTGTGTCAAACAACAACAACAACAACAAACAAACAACAACCTTACTGGCCAGGCGCAGCTGTAATCCCAGCACTTTGGGAGGCCGAGGCGGGAGGATCACTTGAGGTCGGGAGTTCAAGACCAGCCTGACAACATGGAGAAACCCCGTCTTGACTGAAAATACAAAATTAGCCGGTTGTGGCGGCTATGCCTGTAATCGGGAGGCTGAGGCAAGAGAATCACTTGAACCAGGAAGGCGGAGGTTGCGGTGAGCCAAGATCACGTCACTTCACTCCAGCCTGGGCAACAAGAGTGAAACTCCATATCAAAGAACAAAAAACAAAACAAAACAAAAAACTAGCTGGGCGTGGTGGTGCATGCCTGTAATCCCAGCTACTTGTTAGGCTAAGACAGGAGGATTGCTTGAACCAGGGAGGTGGAGGTTGTGGTGAGCTGAGATCGTGCCATTGCACTCCAGCTTGGGCAACAAGAGTGAAACTCCGTCTCAAAAATAAATAAATAAATAAAAATAAAAATAAAATAAAATTGTACATACATCATCCAGTCGTGTAAAGGAGTATGTTCAGAAGGGGGAAACTGCAAGGACTAACAGTGGTAATAACAGTAATCACCAACATTTTTGAGTACTTTCTCTTTTTTTGTTAAAGCCAGACTGAAGTGCAGTGGTGTGATCTTGGTTCACTGTAGCCTTGACCTCCTGGGCTCCAGTGATTCTCCCACCTCAACCTCCCAAGTAGCTGTGACTACAGGCAGGCACCACCATGCCTGGCTATGCCTGGCTAAGTTGTGTATTTTTTGTAGAGACGTGAGTCTTGCTATGTTGCCCAGGCTAGTCTAGAATTCCTGAGCTCAAGTGATCTGACTGCCTGGCCTCCCAAAGTGCTGGGATTAGAGACCACTAATGTGCCTTTGAGCACTTTAAAAAAAAATTATTATTATTATGTTTTGAGATGGAGTTTTGCTCTTGTTGCCCAGGCTGGAATGCAATGGTGTGATCTTGGCTCACTGCTACATCTGCCTCCCAGGTTCAAGCGATTCTCCTGTCTCAGCCTCCTGAGTAGCTGGGAATACAGGCGCCTGCCACTATGCCTGGCTAATTTTTGGCATTTTTAGTACAGACGGGGTTTCACAAGGTTGGTCAGACTGGTCTTAAACTCCTGACCTCAGGTGATCCGCCAGACTTGGCTTCCCAAAGTGATGAAATTACGGGCATGAGCCATCATACCCAGCCCTTTGAGCACTTTTATGTGTGCCCCGGGCTAAAGATTTTATACATGTATTTTACTTAGCCATTGTGTGATCGATACCATCATTTCCTGCATTTAATAGATGGAGAAACTGAGGCTCAGGAAGAAAGGTTAAGTCCATGGATGGTTACTTAGTAAGTAGCTCATTCAGATCCAGGCCTGTTGAACACCAAAGTCCATGTTTTTAAGACTGTCTTGTCTTTCCGTAGCTCCTGACGTTGGTGTTATGATTTTATTCTTTTGTGTATACTTTCCTGAATTTTCCTAATTCTTTTTTCGTTTTTCTTTTTTTTTTTTTCAATGTTATGACTTTATTTGCTGTATTTGACGATCAGCGATTAGTTCTCATCCACATTGACTGTCTGTAGATTTTTGAAAGTGGTAACAGGTACATAGGTAACCAAAGTATAGAGCTTATTTGGTGAATCTTCATCCTCATTACGTTTTCTGGACAGCCGCACACGGATTCGGTGTGGGACATTCCTTATTCCTTTGGCCCAGACAGCTTTGTTGAGCCTGGTATCAATGCGCACATCTAGAGTTCCCATCTCCTTCATGGCAAATTTCCAAATCTCTTTGAGTGCCCGAGGGGTACACTTCTTGAAGCCCACTCCATGGATACGCTTGTGAATGTTGATGGTGTATTCTCGGGTCACCACCTCGTTGATGGCAGAACGGCCCTTTTTCTTCTCACCACCCTTCTTTGCGGAAGCCATTCTGCCGGGTCCAAGTTGGAAAGGAAGCTTTTTTTTTTTGAGATGGAGTCTTGCTCTGTCGCCCAGGCTGGAGTGCAGTAGTGCGATCTCAGCTCACTGCTAGCTCCCCCTCCCGAGTTCACACCATTCTCCTGCCTCAGCCTCCCCAGCAGCTGGGACAACAGGCGCACGCCGCCATGCCCGGCTAATTTTTTGTATTTTTAGTAGAGACGGGGTTTCAGTGAGTTAGCCAGGATGGTCTCGATCTCCTGACCTCGTAATCTGCCCACCTTTGCCTCCCAAAGTGCTGGGATTACAGTTGTGAGCCACCGCGCCCGGTGGAATTTTCCTAGTTCTTTACACTAGCCTTGTATTTACCTATAAAATCAGGAGAAATATGTATATATATAACATATAAAAACTATAAAAACATACATATATTTAAAGGGGGAAATATGTAACAAACACATAGAAACAAGGGGAGAAAGGCATTGTATTGAACAAAACATATGTTCAGGTCTGAGAAGGCTCATAAAGAATGTTGTCTGCTATACTTTGTAGTTGCCTCTGTTATCACACAGTCTGCATATACAGGCGTTTTGTGTATATATATTTATATAGACTACATATATACATATATTATATATGTAAATATTTTGGTTAGATGTCCTCTAACATAACCGTAACACATAGTATGCTTTTAGAAATCGTTGACTGAATGCTAAGGACGAAAAACCAGTGACCAGAAGGCAACCAGGAAAGGCTTTGCTGACCTCCGGGGTGGTGGGATTGGAGGTTCTGGGAAGGCGACTATGGAACCAGGGAGGGGTGGGGTGGAATGGGATGTGGACAGCGCTTTTGCGGAGGGAAAGCGTTTTTGCGGCTGGAATTGAGCGGTAGGAATGTGTCAGCCACAGCTCCACTTTCCCAGTTCTTGTCATCTCGGTTCAGGAAGGTGAACTGGGTTCCGATTCCCCGCGGCGGGGGCCTGCAGTGGGCGCTCGGTCCCTTCCCCGCCTCGGCTGCAGGCCCCGCCCCTCGCCCAGAACCCCGGGGCGCTGGCCGCGGTGCTGAAACGGCGCCCTCCGCGGACGGAGGAGGGGGCGGGGCTCTCGGGAGCCTTGAGCCGGGAAGGGAGAGGAGCAGGGCGGCGCCAGCAGGCCCGAGACCCTGGGGGGCTTGGGAGGCGGCAGGATACTGGAGACAGCCTCGGCTAGAGTGGACACAGGCACCTGGCAAGCTTCCCCTGATCAAACCAAGGTTGTCCTTGTCCTATTAAGCCTCTTCCCCTTGCCTTGAAGGGACCTCACCTGGTGCCTTGACCTCAGCCTCCTCCCCAAACCCCGCTGGGGAGTGACCTGCTTCTAGGCCTCCATCCACAAAGCCACGGACTTGCAGCCCACGGGACCCCAGCCCAGGGCCTGCTGCCCTCACCATGGTGAAATTGCTGCCGGCCCAGGAGGCAGCCAAGATCTACCATACCAACTATGTGCGGAACTCGCGGGCCGTGGGCGTGATGTGGGGTACACTCACCATCTGCTTCTCTGTGCTGGTCATGGCCCTCTTCATCCAGCCCTACTGGATCGGCGACAGCGTCAACACACCGCAGGCAGGCTACTTCGGCCTTTTCTCCTACTGCGTGGGTAACGTGCTCTCCTCCGAGCTCATCTGCAAGGGCGGTCCCCTAGACTTCTCCTCCATCCCCTCTAGAGCCTTCAAGACTGCCATGTTCTTTGTGGCCTTGGGCATGTTCCTCATCATTGGCTCCATCATCTGCTTCAGCCTGTTCTTCATCTGCAACACGGCCACAGTCTACAAGATCTGTGCATGGATGCAGCTGGCTGCGGGTAAGCAGGGATGGTGGGAGGGCAGGCAGGGGCCCACCCCGGGGCCACAGCTGCAGCTGCACCATCCCACCCTCTGCTGGGGCTCTGGGCCTTAAATTTAGCTGTTCTCCTACAGCCCAGTCCTACTCAGTGCTCTGCAGAAGATTCTGAGGAGTTGAGAATCTTAGAATGGCCGAGGCAGAAAAGACCTTAGAGATCAAGCTGTCCAACCCTCTCATCTGTAAGGGGAAGTGACTTGCCCAGGAACACACAGTTGCTGGTTCTTACTCCCAGGCCATCACATCAGTTTTTGCAGCTGTGAGAGAGAGAAAGAAGGAAGCTTCTATTGTTGGCCATGTGGGAATAGGGCTCAACGCCAGCACAAAATAGTGACACCAGTCAAGCACATTCTAGATGCCCTCATCTCCCACCTCTGGCCTTTTGTTCTTTTTAAGAGTGCCCAGAACTCTGTCCTCATTCTCTCTCTCCCACTCCAAACTGCTCTCAGATTCTAAGGTCTCTTGCTGATTTTGGAGTGTTACTATTATGCAGGGTATGACCTTGCCTATAGAAACTTTCATCTAAAGTCCCCTCTTTCATTGTGGAGTGAAAGTCTTTTCTCCTTGATTATGGGATTTTATACTTAAGGCAGCAAATGGAGTGATACTGTGTGAGGTGGAGGAAGCTATTTAGGGTCCTGTTGTTGTTGTTTGTTTGTTTGTTTGTTTTTTGAGACAGAGTTGGCCCAGGCTGGAGTACAGTGGCATGATCTCAGCTCACTGCAGCCTCAACCTCCTTGGACTTAGGTGATCCTCTCTCATCAGCTTCCCACGTAGCTGGGACTCTAGGTGTGCACCACCATGTCTGGCTAATTTTTTTGTAATTTTTGTAGAGATGGGGTTTTGTCATATTGCCCAGGCAGGTCTCGAACTGCTGGCCTCAAGCAATTTGCTCGCTTCAGTCTCCCAAAGTGTTGGGATTTCAGGTGTGATCCACAGCACCTGGCCTAGGGTCCTTTAAAACAATGTGGGGGCTGGGCACAGTGGCTCACACCTATAATCCTAACACTTTGGGAG